GCCCCTCTGAAGAGAGCGCGCAGAAGCAGCCTCCTCCGCCTCTCCGCCAGAGAGCCCCGAATCAAACGGCTACCCCGGCTCCCCCCCGGAGCCGCCCACGACCCCGCGAGCACTTTCCACAGCGGGCTGCAGCCCTTCTGTCGCAGAAGTTTCCCAACATGCAGTACGACTTCACCCCGGAGACGTGCGAGGACCTTTCTCCTCCCCCGCCTCCGGCCGAGCTCTCTCCCCCCGCCACCCTGCAAGTTCTCCGGCCTCTGTCCCCCGGCGCGCCTCCTCCCGCGCCTCCCAAAACCTTCACCGGCGGTTTTCCCCCTCAAATCCGCTCGCAAACCCTCGGGTCCTCTTCCCTCCCGATGGCCCTCTCCCCCCTGTCCCCCACTCAGCCCCTCAGCGGCCACGGGCCGGTGAAAAAGCAGCAGAGTTTCTCAACGGGACATTCCCCGAATCAGCCCCCGCCCACCCTGCCCAAGCAGCACAGCCTCTCCTCCAAAAACCTCTCCGTCTCCCCGTCCTCGTCCTCGTCCTCCGTCTCCATAGCGGCCGCTACCTCCTCGTTTGTCAAGCAGATCGTCAATCAGTTCCCCGGGAACTCCGCCCCTTCCTCTCTGCCCGCCTCCAGCTCCACGGAAAGGTCGAAGTTCGCCGCTCCGCAGTCCCCGCCGGCGGTCAAGGCCAAACCGAAGTGGCAGCCGGGGGGCGCCGTGGCTCCGCCGTCCCCGGAGTTCCCCCCGCCTCCGTGCGACAGCTCCATGGCGGAGTTCCCTCCGCCCCTGTCTTCCGGCCTGCCTCCCAACGCGTCGGCGGCATCAAGCAAAGCGGGGGCCGGCCGGCCCCCCAGAGAGCCTCGTCCATCCTGTGCAGCTTGTCGGGCGACGCCCATGAAGAGCGGCCGAAGAATGTGGAGAGCCTGGTCAGCAAATTTGGCCAGAGCCCTCAGACGGGGACCGTCGTCCGGCTCGTCGTCAGCGACCGGCTTCGTCCTTCCAAGGACGCCTCGGCGCTTCCTGCCCCGCTCCCCAAGCCGGGGAAGCTGAACCTGGCCAACCTCCCGTTGGCGCTCAAGGGGCTGCAGGCAGGCCCCCCCCCACCAGCCCTCCGAATTCCCCCCGCCCCCGCCCGCCCAGCCTCCCAACCTCGACTCGTCACCGGACTACTTCCCGCCTCCGCCCAGTGACTTTGAGCTGTTCCCTCCTCCCCCCCACCCGTCAGAGTTCCACCAGCCCCCCAAGGTCGCCGTGGTGAACCCACAGCCTCAGATGCCACCGCCCCAACAGTCGGCGCCTTCCTCCTTGTCGTCGTCGTCGTGGAAACAGAGTTCGCTGAAGAAGGGGGCGGCCCTCCCTCCGACACTGAATCGGCGGATAAGCAACACGACGCAGTACGACGCGCCCCTCTCGCCGCCGCCTCTGTCTCAGACCCCACCGCCCTCCCTGTCCTCTTATTCCTCCCCCTCTCCGATCCCCCCCACCTCCCCGAAGTCCCCGGGGCCGAGCTCCCTGACGCTGAAGCCCCACTTCCTGGAGGACCTCAACCGCACCCTCAAGAGGAAGTCGGTGTCCCGCCATGGCTCGCTCACGTCCTCCCACCTCATCTCTTCCTGTAAGATGGAGCCCGCGGGCACCATGGACGACATGGCGCTCCTCCCGCCGCCTCCCCCCGAGCTCCTGCAGCAGCAGCAGCAGCAGCAGGGCGTCCGAGGACACTCCCAAACTCTGTCTCGCCACCACTCGAACTCCCACTCCAACAAACACGCCAACATCTCAGGCTATGCAACGCTGCGGCGAGGCCCGCCCCCCGCGCCCCCGAAACGAGACCAAAGCACCAAACTGACCGGTGACTGGTAGGGGGCGGGAACGTGGGCGGAGCCTAAAGAAACAAACTGACTGTTCAGGTCTCGTGCGGAGATGAAGTAATCGATGTCTGTCTTGACTTGTCCGTCTGTCCTCGTCCTAAATCCTCCCTTGGACTCCGAGCAAGTAGCAAACCGTCTTTCCGACTCTTAATCTAAGATTATGATTGTTCCTATTACCCTGATTATTACTATCGTTACCTACATACCATACATGTTTAACCCGATGACATGCATAAAACATACACATATATATATGTATGTGTATATATATATATATATATATCTGTATACAAGCAAGCCACAAAAATCCTGCTTTTTTCACAATGTCTGTGCAGCTTTGCGTTGAAAATAGAAAAGACGACGAGACTTGAAGGGCAACAGAGACGAAAAGCTGCACAGTAACTGGTACAGCCTGGCGCCGTGGCAACGGAGGGGGGGGGGGGGGCAGAAATGAAGGATGCGAAAGTTGTGTATAGAAAGGTGTTATGGACTGAGGGGGGGGGGGCAGGCGTTGCCATTTATTTCAAACTTTTTGTGTGTGTTTTTATATAAGATTATTTAATACTGGAAAGATTATTATTATAATTATTTTAAGAAGTGTCAAAAGAGAACATATGGGTCCGTACGCGCTGATCTGAGATCATATCTGGATCATTTCATTTCATGTCTTCATTCAGAGCATCGCGGCTGATGCACACGCGTGTAAATCCGGCAGGCTGAGCTCAGGATGCAGGCGTCTGGAAGGGATGATGCGTCACGGCGTACGCCGGGACTTGCACATTTCGATCGTCCTCGATCTCTGATCTCAGCTGTCCAGACTTCAACTCGACGCTGTCCCAAAGACGCCTGTTGAATCTGAGCTCAGACTCGTCAGAATCAGTCTGGAAACCTTTCGATGGCTCATTAAACAGACTCTGTTAATTCATAATAAATCAGTGAATTTAGCCGCGCCCTCATTCGTCTGTGTGTGTCCGTGTGTGTGTGTGTGTGTGTGTCCACTTAAAGCGATGAGAGAACGAGCACGTGACGTCAGACTGGACCTTCTTGTCTTCATGTACAGATTAGACCTCCAGCTGGAGGAAACCCAGTCGCTTCCTTAGCTCCTCTGCTAGCATCCTTCCACACTGCTCTTTTTCTTCACATCATTTACTGGTCAGAACTTTTTGGATTATGTGCAGCTGAACGTCGGCTTGTTGCAGTAGTTTGAAATTATCCTTTTGATTTTTATCAAAAAGTACTGATTTGAGTGTACATTTGTCATGGTTACAAAATGGTTTCAGGACAAAATCTGTTTTTTGTGTGGGGGCGGGGGGGGCGTACTTCCCGTGCAGGAAAAGGATCACCAAGTCCCCATCATGGCGTATTTCAGAACAACGTACCGTTTAAAGCTGATCAATGCCGTGTAAAGTATGTGAGGCTGCCGCGGGGTGTCAAACCGCCCGTCGCTTTTCAAATAAACGAGAAATGAGTCAAAGCAAAGTGCTCATCCAGAGGGTTCTTTCCTCGCAGGTCTCAGAAACAAAGTGTGGTCACATTTGTATTTCTAATGATACCTGCAGCTCCACAGAGCACTGCTCACATACAGGTTACATCCCATCGTCATGGTAACGTAGCGCAGCAGGTATACCGTCATGAAAACGTTCCAGTACACTATGACATACTCATTAAAACATTCATACTACAGAAAGGTCAGTGTAGTACACAAAGTATGTATTTGTTAGTGGAAAATGCCACCGGGTGTGTTTGTCGTACTATGACTTAAGGACATTTACAGTACGTCATAAATCTGTTTTTTTTTATTCATCTTTCTGCAGGAGTTTGGTTACTACAGAAGCAGCAGCGTGTACTGAGATACCGTAGATGATACATTCTAGATTAGGAACCGGCTGGAAGGAGACGCTGAAATGTATAAATAAATACTAACAGACTCACTAAGGACAGGACGTCATTTATTCAAGTGGCACATCAGCGCACTGGTCTTACTATCCTCCATCCTGACCGCAGCTCCACCGGTGCCGTGGGGGTGGAGAGGTCAGCGGGGGGGGGGGGTCAACGCCCGCGGTCCTCCTGGACCGAAACAGAGAAGGGATGAAGTCACCGCGTCGGCCATAACCACGCCTTCCCTGTTGTGGGCGGGGCCGCTTCTTACCAGCACGCTGATCCACTGGGAGTCGGAGTAGATGTAGAGAGCTCCCCTGTCGGTCCGCAGCACCATCACATTCTCCGCCCGCAGCCTCCTCATCTGCCGCTCCCCGCCAGCGACGAAGATCTGGAGGCGGAAGGATGCAGGGCGTTTTTTACGCGGGGAGCGTATGAGGAATGTTTACACCTTCAGGAGGCAGCCATTATAATTATAAAATGTTATTTTCGACCTAATATTTGATTTCATATGTATCGACTTTTTTCAAAAAAAATTGTTTTTTTTAATTCAATATATTATTGGACTTTTTCCATGACAGTTTTTGACATTTTCTGCCCACAGTTTTCGCCCCAATATTTATTGACTATTTTTTCCATGACATTTTTCAGTTCAGTCAAAGTATACTTCTTCCAGGGACACTAAAGTGTGTGTGTGTGTGTGTGTGTGTGTGTGTGTGTTTTACTGACCGTCTGGACCGTTGGCTCTGGGGTTCTAACCAGTGAACAGCTGCATTCTGCTGAAGGACCTCGGCGTCCCGTGTGTCCCTGCAGGCCTGCAAGGACGAACACTACAACACCATTTATCATTATTATCATTGGTTCCGTATTTAACACGCTGTTGCTGTGCGTTTCTCCTTTAAAAAGAAATAAAATTCCTGCTTACTAATTGATTCTGATTTCATCTTTTTACTCCTTTTAAAAGCCCGCTGGCTGAATTCAGTCCATATTCGCGATATATAAACGTGCCTGCGTGGCCTTTATGGTCCCACATGAGACCTTTCTCTCACGTGGATGTAGAGTCAGGAGCCTTGTTTGTATCTCTAGTTCATCTGAGACCTTCCTGCTGTCACGCACCTTGTCCAGGTAGTCCAGGCTCTCCGGTGGGACCCGAGAGCCCCGCGGGACCGGGGTGCCCCGGCCCTCCTGCAGGTCCACCAGATCCCTCCAACCCCTGCACACAAGTCATTGGTCTCACTGCATGATCAACAGCGTGAGGGTGGAGGGGGGGGGCGAATGGCTGTGAATTCGTTATTCCTAAAAAGACAACAGCAGCAAGCGTTGGTTTGCGAAGCGGTTCATGCCGACCGGCGTTCCTCTGCCGCCAGGCTCTCCTCTTGGTCCTTGTTCGCCCCGCGGCCCTGCGTCTCCCCACCGGCCCGGATCGCCCTGGAACGCCACAGCACAGAAGAGGCTTTACTCTCACGCTGACTTTTATTCTTTGGGGCGCCCGGAAGACGTCGGCCCGGTCGTCTACCTTCTGGCCTGGCGCCGCGGCCCCGCCCCCCTCGCCCTGAAGGGACCGGAGAGCAAACTGGTTCAGTCATTCGTATCCATCACCTCGCCAGCTTTTAATATATATACACATCTCTTTCCTCCTCTCACCTTCTGGCCGCCGGGTCCGGTGTTTCCTCTCACGCCTTTATCCCCCTGGTGGAGGGAGACAAAATGAAGGAGTTCACCGCCAGTGACGCTCTTTGGAAAGAGCCGGCGAAAAAGAAGCGCGGCTGTCACTCACTCTGAATCCCCGAAGCCCCTTGCTGCCCTGTGAAGACACACCGTTAAACCATCATCTGAGCAAAGTTAAAAAAGAACCCTCGATTAAGTCACGCGTTGTACCAGCTGCAGGAGTAAAACAGCTCGTGTGTCTACTTGTATCGGCGATTCCTCGCGGCAGAAGCCACGGCGTACCTTTATCAGCCCGGCCGCTCCTACGTCTCCACAAAGGCCCCTCCAGCCTCGGCCCCCCTTGTCCCCCTGTGGACAACAGCACAGAAAGAGTCGCGTTGTGTGAATGCATTCATAAACTGAACTCGGTGTTTCAAAAGGTGAGAAAATTATTTTCTATTTTCGTATATATTTTTCCTCAATAGATGCACATGGGAAACAGTCTGCGCAAATAAACGTCAACAACTCATTTGTTGTCCCTCATGTTGTTGTTTCAGTGGCGGTTTGGTGGACTTCCTGTGACCTTTTGACCCGGCTCTCCCATGGGTCCCTGTGCTCCAGGTTCTGCCTCTGGACCGGTCACACCGGGCTTCCCCTAAAACACACACAAGGCCCTTTCTTTCTGTTGTAGAGAAGAGCTCAGTGCTCAGTAAGAGTGTGTGTGTGTGTGTGTGTGTGTGGGGTACACTGCACCTTGGCTCCTCTGGGTCCTCTGCAGCCCTTTAAACATAAGAAATATTAATGCTTTTAATGTATAAATGGTTCTAATAACATTGAAGGAGGGTGAGGTGCTACATTACAGCACAGATACTTGATTTAATAACTAATTTATTAATTTGTGGTCCCATAAAGAAGCAGAATTGATAACCGAGGTGTGACATACCTTCTCCCCTTTGGCTCCTGTGATGTGTTCGGTCACATCAAGCTGGGGGGACGAATGTAAAGCAGCAGGATTCAGTTTAAACGCATTTATTTAAGACTCTGGCTGCAGAAAGTGGTCTTTTCTCAGGAGGTAAAAAACACACACTGTGCTTTATTGATTGATTCTACAAACAAACGTGAACGCACCCTTCATACACGTGTGTGTGTGTGTGTGTGTGTGTGTGTGTCATCACCATCAGTGCTGCTTCCTGTCGGACTGAAGGAAACGCAGGCGGTGGGGGGGGCGGAGGAGGGAAGACTTCACATTTTGGAAAGGACCCCCTGCCGGATAGAAATCCTACACACACACACACAGCGACACACACATAAGGACACACACACAATGCCTGTGCCCGTCTGGTTGCCTCTGGCTCATGTTTGTACTCACTCGTGTCAACAGCCGGCTGCCGCAGGCTGCTGAGCAAGGCAGTCCATCCCAAAACCAGCTGAGTCAGCATCTCTTCTCCTGCAGCAACGACGAGAAAAAGCAAACTGAACTTCACATAATGAGGAAAAAAGGAAAAGTACATTTTGTCCAAAGATGTGATCAGAAGCCCCGCCCCCCCCTTCAACACCCTAAATCAGATTCATTCATTTCCTGCTGAGCTTGACCCCCCTCGTGGAAGAGAGCCGGTGGATTCACGCTTTGTGTGATCGGGCGTTTGATGAATACGAAACAGTCACCTTTCATTGTACCATCCGAGTGCAGCAAAATAAACACATTTAAGCAGAGAAATCTCACTAAATTGTGAGGTTCCAGAACCAATTCATTACAGAAATAAGGTTCTAAGAAATGTTTTAAAATCTGCCACAAAATACACGTGAAACTTGAAAGATGTGCATCACAATCGATAAACTGTGTGTGTGTGTGTGTGTGTGTGTGTGCGCTCTTACCTCCTCTGCGTGCCGCCTCCCGTCCTGCAGTGGAGACGTTTCTCTCTGGAGGATCTGCTGAGTCCCGACTTAATAAAGCGTGGAGATGCAACGCAGCCTCTGGCAGCGGCGCGCAGGAATAATCAGATAATTAGAGACCCGCGGAGCCAAAGAGGAGGCGGCGCGTCAGGAGGGGAAGAACCTCCCGTCGCGTTATGATTACGGTCCTTCATCCTGGGCTCCGGTCCAAGGCCCTCACAGACTAATGGAGCGAGGCGCTCAGAGGCTTACCTACAGGCGCACTTCTGTCTGCACCATCAACAGATTTTAGAGCCCTCAGAACCAGGAAATAACACTTAAGTGAAGGGGAATCTTTTTTTTAGATCCTTTTATAGTTTTACTTTTGAACGTTTTTTACAGCAAAACAAGGATTCCTAAATATTTGAGCTTCTGGTCTGATTCTATATCGTGATTGAACTGAAAAGCCCAAGATTTCAGAGACTGATACATTGAAACAGACAATGAAAAACATTTCTGTTCAAAAATGCTTCATTTCCTCCTCTGGTCCGTCACGAAAAACAATCAAGCGCAGAAAAAATTTAAGCAGTCTTTTATTGAAAAATTTAAAAACACAAATGAGTAAAACGCAGACGGGCTGTGCAGGCGCCTCGTCTTCTTATGGGTCTTTTAACACTGGAGTGTCTGATGCTTCGGAGGCGGAGCCGGTCTGTGGTCCCGCCTCCTTCTGGCTGAGGCGCCTCTGCAGCTCCACGGCCACCTGCCCCATGGCGCCGCCCAGCCGACCGTGGAGCTCAACCAGCTGCTGAGGGGAGCAGTGAGCGAGCTCCAGGGCCCCCAGGGCCCCCATCGTCGACGCCAGCCACCCCGCAGGGCCGCGGTCTCCGGCCGCCGCGCCGGGCGTCCGATCCCCGGAGCCCCGCCGCCCCTCGTCCGCAGGGAGCCGTTCTTCCAGCAGCTCCTCTGCTGGAAAAGGAAACGGGAAGTCGGGGTGTCAGAACGCGCTGAGGTCAGAAGCGGCTTCTTTTACAGCCACGGAAGAGAACGCGCGCGCGTTTACAACCGACGTGGCGTTTCACTGCGGCGACTCGGACGAGCTCGGAAGCTTCACAGTTAAAAAAAGGTCATTTTGTCAGAATCAGACAAGATGAAGACGAGTGTTTCCCCTCAAATAGTCACTGTTAACTGGTGTATTAAACCAAATCATTGCAGTCACCATTCGTCTCCAGGTTTACACTCACCCAGCGCCTCGGAGGTCGCATCCTGGTTTTGAGGAGCGCCGGGCTCCACCAGGTCAGAGGTCGTGTCCACCAGCTCCGAGGTCGTCTCCCTTTCATCGAAGCTCTTCAACTCCTCAGCACCTCGTCCTTTACGCTAGAAGACAAACGGTACGGCATCAAATCCGACACGTTCACCTGGATGCGTTGTGCCCGCAGCCCTCCAACCCCCCCCCGCGCCCCGGCGTACCTGCTGCTCGTAACTTCTGAGAGCCTTCTTGACGTTGGAGATCTTCGGGGAGCGGATGGGCAGCGTCTTGATCTCGCTGGGAGTCAGAGCGCTGAGGTCGCCGACCGTTTTGATGTTTCGGGCTCGAACGAGCTGCCCGAAGCCTCGGGACCTGAGAGGACGGACGGACGGACGGACGCCGTCACGTCGCTGCTTAACGAGCGCTTTTGTCAAAGAGTCTCCCGTCACTCACCACATGTTGGAGGAGATCTGAGGCAGCACGGCCTCCACGGGCGCAGAGCAGCCGGCCAGCGACGGATAGACGCTGTCTCTGGAGACGGGCCGCGGCTCTTGGATCATTTTGGAAATCTGGGGTGACAAAGCGGTTTGGACCACACTGGGTTAGCAGCACATTAACCAAGGGAAGAGACACAGGCCGCGGTGCATTGTGGGTAACTGATACCGGGCCCGTTATGCCGGTAGTGAAAATCCCTGCATGCGGATGTTGCAAGTAGAAGGTTTACATTACTTGGACTAACAAAGTTGGACCAATTAAGGAAAAGACACAAATGAAGTCTTTTGTTTACGTCAACGTTCGTACAGTATAAAAGTACGACAGTGCCATTCTGAGACAATTCTCCTGCAGACCAGGAGAGTCATCTTCTCCAGGCTGGATCATTGCAACGCACTTTATTCTGGCCTACAAACGATACAGAATGCTGCTCTCGACTGGTCCCTAAAGGTGGACGTGCCCCTAAACTGGGGGACTCGCTTCCCTGCAAATTCAGTGTCCTCTTCTAAAGAGTCACTTGTACCAGCTGTCTTATTTATATATTTGACAGATTTGATCTCATTTATTATAAACCGCTTGATTGTATAACACGTGCGTGTATTGTTAAGCACTTTGGTTCGAAAGGTGCTGTAGAAATAAAAGTTATTATTGTTCTGCTTCCATAAATAACCCATGCCGCCGCTAGCCGCCCTGCTAGCCGCCCTGCTAGCCGCCCTGCTAGCCGCCCTGCTAACCCAAGCGCGGGCCTCCCTTTGTGCTTTTAGACTGCAGTGAGGATAATGGATGCATACCAGGCACTTCTTGGAGCTCTTGTGTCCCGGGCTGTGCAGCGTTCTGGGACTCGGGCCGAGCGGGCCTTTGGTGGGCGTGGTCACGTACTGGAATGGAGGAGCAGAACAGAGTCGCCTGAGAACCCGAGTGGATGGGAACCAAAGACGCGCGGCGGGCCGGTCGGTACCTTCGGCTGCGGGACGCCGTTGCCCCGGGACGCCCGGGGGGAGCTGGTCCTGAAGGCCGGGCTGCGACGGTCGATGTCGTCCGCCAATTCCTGGTGTTGGATTGGATGAGCAAAGGACACGCGTCTGGACTGCAGAGGAGAAGATGGAGACTTTGACAGCAGCACATGCGGTTAAAAACGGGGATTTCAAGATCGGACGAGTCACTTACTTTGACGAGGGGGGAGGGAGTCTCCTCCTCCTCCTCTTCCTCCTCCTCCTGCAGTCTCTTTGGGGCCTTCTTAAGAATACTGGTTGATGGGGAGGCTGAAGGAGACCACGTCCCTCGGGTCCTGCCGCTGCTGGGGCTTCCTGCAACGTCTGCCGCCATCAGAGCCTCCAGGTCCTTCTGCTTCGCCGGGGAGCCCGAGCTCGTCCCCTCGCCGCTGGACCGCTTCTCCTGGATGGCCTCCGAGAACTCAACGGGACGGTCCTCGGCCGCGTCCTCCAGCGGGACCACGGGGGCCTCGCGGCGTGTCCAACCCGAACCGCCCGGTCGGGTTTCCGCAACGCTGGCGTGGAGCTGAAAGAGCCGCTGCGGGGAGCAGGGAGCGAGCTCCAGGGGCGCCACCGCCAGCGCCTCCATGGTGGACGCCAGCCAGCCCCCAGGGTCGCGTTCTCCGGCCGCCGCGTCGGGCGTCTGGTTCCCGGAGCCGTCCCCCTCGTCCGCAGGGAGCCGTCCCTCCAGCAGCGCCGTGGCTGGCGAAGGAGAAAGGAGACAGCAGCTAAGTCGGGGGTCCAAATACCGTTAAAAGGTCCAAAATGATTCTTTACAGAAGAGACGTGCGGATTAAAATATACAAAATATATAATCAGTTCTGCAGAACTCGACTGCTGTGGTGTAACTTTGATTTGTTTGTTAAATACATTCAAACCGTTCTCCCCGGTGGGGGACAGGTTCACTCACCCAGCGTCTCCCCCGAGGTCTCCTCCAGCGGCTCAGAGGTCGTCGTCGTCGTCCCCGTTTCGGTTACGCCGTCCCCAGACGCCGACGCTCCTTCACCTTTCTCCTCGGAGACCCGCAGCGCCTCCATCGTCCCCTTGGGAGGGGAGGGGTCCCGGGTCGCTTCAGAAGACATCCCGGCCGGCTCGAGCCCCCCAGCGGACGGGGAGCTGCTCGCGTCTCCGTCCTGTTGAGAGGCGACGGAGACCTTTTGCTCCGAGGGAGACGACACGGCGGGCGAATCGCTCCGCTTCGTGTCATCAACCTCGTCCTCCGTCTGGGGCGACTCCTCGGAGCCTTTCTCCTCGGCCTGAGACTCCTCGGCCTGAGACTCCTCGGCCTGAGACTCCTCGGCCTGAGACTCCTCGGCGCCTTTCTCCTCGGCCTGAGACTCCTCGGCGCCTTTCTCCTCGGCCTGAGACTCCTCGGCGCCTTTCTCCTCGGCCTGAGACTCCTCGGCGCCTTTCTCCTCGGCCTGAGACTCCTCCTTCCCTTTCTCCTCGGCCTGAGACTCCTCCTTCCCTTTCTCCTCGGCCTGACACTCCTCGGCCTGCGACTCCTCGGCCTGACACTCCTCGGCCTGACACTCCTCGGCCTGACTCAGACTCTCAGAGTCCAGCCAGTCTTGAGCCGCCTGTGAAGCGCTCCCTTTGCTTCGGGGGTCCGAACCTGCGACCTCTTTGGCTTCAATAGCGAGCGGACTGGGCAGAGACGCTCGGGGTTTCCTTCCCTTCTTTTTGGCCACGGGGGGATTTTCTTTGACCTCCGAGGATTCGGACCCGGAGGAGTCTTTACTGCTGACCGGGGACGCTGGGGAGGACGTCCGCAGGTACCTGCCCGGACCCGCCGATGACGGAGCGCCGCGCGGAGTCGAGCTGCGCCGCGGCCTCGAGGGCTCCTCCTGTACTCTGCTCCTCCTCGTGCGACCCGCCACGCCGGCCTCCGGCGGACCCGAGCCCCCGTTGTCCCCTCCGTCTCCAGAGCCCGCTTCCTCGGAGGAGACCTTGCTTCTTCTGGATCGACGCACGGCCGGTCCGCCGGACGAGGGTGTGATCACTTCGGCGGCGTCCGTGCCGTCGCTCGCTTTCGGCTCGCCTTTGTTTGCTCCACCGCCGGGCTCCTCGTCAGCTGGAGAACTTCGCTCATCCCGGCTGGTCTTTTCTAAAAGCTCACACTGAGTCTGCTCGGGGTCCGTCCGCTCCTCCATCTGGACGTCCAGGGACTCGAGGGAAATGGCGGTTTGAGAACGTTTCACCTCATCGCCGTCTTTTTCAGTGTGTTGCACCATCTCTGACTCTTGGCATTTGTCACTCGTTTGAGGGTCTTCTAGCTTGTCCTCTTCCACCGGCGGACGTTGGGCGGCCTGACTGGACTCTTCCTCGCCAGGCGAACCCTTTTGCTTCGCTTCCCCGTCTTGCGCGGCCTCCCTCGTGGCTTTGCTCCGCTGTGACTGGCTGTCGGCTGCGCTGGGCTGGAGCCCCCTGGAGCTCCTCTCTTTGGGGTCCGGCCCATGAAGAAGGTCCTGGGAAACGCTGTACAGCTTGATCTTCTTGGAGGATCTGCCCCGCGAGCTGGTCTGGGACGACTCGCTCTTGTCCGTCTGAGACCTTGTTCTCCGTCGGCCTCGGCCCTCCTCGGCGCCCTGCGTGCTGCGCGTGCTCCGTCTGCTCGACGCCGCGGGATCACCCTTAGGTTCCTCTCCAGAGCGTCTCCTCTTCAGAGGCTGGCGTTTCTCTGCGCGGTCGCCGGCGTCCTCTCCTGGCAGCTGCGGTCGCACTCGGCAGCGTCCCGACCGCCTCGGCTCCCCTTGAGAGGACAGCGAGTCGTCCAGGGTGGCGTCAGATTCCTCCTCCTCCTGGCTTGAGGGCTTCATCTCCTCTGAGGAAGCCTCCGTTCGAGCCTGCGTGTCCGGGATGACGTTCTCGTCGTCGGTCGGGTCACTGGGCAGCCGCTCGGTCAGCCTCACCGGCTCCGCTTTGGTCCTGGAGGCTTTGGGCCTCACGGGGGAATCGAGGCCACTGCTCACGGGACACCGAGGGGTCGTGTCGTCTGCCTGGGAAGACGAGGAACCCTGAGAGCTGGGACCGGCGGACGCCTGGGAAGCCCGCGAGGACGAGCTCCTGCTGGTTCTGGAGCGCTCTCGGCTGTTGGGGGTCTTTCCGAGGGTGCCGGTGAAGGTGGATGCGCTGCTGGGGCTGGCGGGTTTCCCCTCCGCATACTTCTCCAGAGTGATGAAGGACTGACGGCGGCTGTTGGGTTTCTGGGGCGTCCCCGAGACCAAATCGGAGGAACCGGAGAGGTTGTTAGGACTCGCGCCGCCTGGAGACCGGAGGTCCGGGTCTGCGCCATCGCCACCCTTGGCGTCCTCCTCCACAAAAACATCCGCTGACCCCGGGATAACCGGCTCCTGGTCTGCTGGCATCTTCTCTACTGCCGCTGGATCGGCGGAATCTGGAGTCTCCTTTGAGTCCTCCTGAGGAACCTGCAAAGGGACCAAAACCTTCAGAGACTGCAACTCCGGGTCAAAGCGCTGCAGGAAACATCCACAGGGAGTTTTATTCACTAGGGGGGGGGGTCCATTACCTCGCCAGGAGCCTCTTTGGTTTCCTCGTCGGCGTCTTCAGTTGCCAGTTTGTCTCTGTGGGAACAACCTTTTATTACACTGATGCTACATTATACGATGAGCACAAGAATCCAGCCGGGTCCGGGACTCACAGGGACGCTTCCTGACTCTGGGTGAACTGGGTGAAAACCGTTGTGTCCAGAGAGGCGTCCAGGTTGTTGTACATGACGGGGATGTCCACCCTGTGGGACAAGGATCGCGTCAGCTCCGCGCCAGGACACTTTCAATGCATTCGACTCAAAATAAAAAAGGCCGAACAAACCTTTTAGTCCTTTTCACCTCCTTCTGGTGCTCCGTGAGAACTCGCTCCTTCGTCTCGGGAGGAATGAACACAAAGTCAACGGAGGCCTCCTCCTCCAGAGCTCCTCTGGCAGGAGGCCTCGGGGAGCCAAAGTCCAGCTTGGTCTGTTGAGGAGGAACGGCACGTCATTCGTTGTTCTCCTCCGCACGTTAAACCCCCCCTCAACCGAACTCGGAACTCACAGAAACTGACTTGGAGGCCGGCGCGGCGCCGCGGGCCTTCGGCTCGGCCCGTTTCAGCAGCGAGTCCCTCGCCGCCGCGGACGACACCGGCATGCCGCTGAGGTTCGTCTCCAGCTGGGAGCTCTCGCTCTGAAGACACGAACCCCCGGGTGGGCCAGGATTAGCGACCGCGAGGGGGAACGTCGAGGGGTCACAGCGGCGGACGGCAACTCACCGAGTACGGTCCGCTGAGGTCGTCGGGAACGCCGACCGCCTCGAAGCCGGGAAGGATGATCGGCGTCTTCTGCCTCACGTGGCTCAACACGGGCCTGTGCACGGACACCGGGGGACATTTAAAAAAAAAAAAAGAGCCAAAGTTTGCTATTTTTTACATCCGTCGTCTCCGCAGCGTCCCTCGTTTCCGCCTCACCTGAGCTCCTCGGGGTAAGCGAGGCAGACGGCGTTGGCGAAGGTGGCGTTCCAGAAGTGCGCGGCCGAGCAGCGCAGCGCCTTGTTCCTGTGAGCGAACGCCGCGCCGAGCAGCGGAGAGAGCAGCGCCAGCAGCTCGTCGTCGTACGCCACGGCCGAGCGGCTCTGCAGGCAGCCGAGGACGTCGCAGAGAAGCTTCTCCAGCTGAACGGGAGGAAGCCGACCTTTGACCTTTAACCCTTAAAGCAAAAAAAGCCTCGCGCGGCGGCCCGTCGGACAAGGAGACGCACACCCACCTTTCCCAGGAGCTGCGAGGAGAACTTGGGCGGCTCGCCGGCGGCTTGCTGGTAGAAGGCGGCGAGCGGCGGGACGAGCGAGGCGAGCGCCTCCCTCACGGTGTTGGCGAGAGCCAGGTTGGTGAAGAGGGCCGACACGATGGAGACCAGGGCCAGGCCCGTGGCCTCGCAGGACGCCCCGGGGCCCCCCAGGTAGACCTCCAGGCACTGCACGAGCAGGGACCGGAAGGTGGACAGGTTCCCCAGGACCTTATTCCGCTTCCTCGTCCAGTTCACTGGAGTGTGAGGAGCTGCAGGGGGGGGGGGGAGGGGGAGGAGGGAGGGGGGGGGAGCAAAGCATCAGCGGCTAGAATCCATCCGAGAGTGGAGACCGAAATACGGCGAGTTCTTACACTTCAGCTTCTGCTGAAACTGAGGCGTGAACGGCGAGAAGTCCACACACTCCACCATGACGTGCAGGATACTGGTGACGGCATCCAGCGTGGAAGGAACCTGCAGCAGAAGCACGCGGCACCGATGAGCTGAAGCAGGCTGGTTTTGAATTAATTAAACTGCAGCCGTCATGTTCGGGATGAATTTAAAAAAAAAAATTATTCAAAACAAATCGCGTCACTCAACCTCCAGACGTCGGTAATTAGCAGTTTTCCCGATGAAGGCGGAGCAACAACCAAACTGTTTTTTGAAAAGTCCTTAAAATAATGCCAATGTTCCACCAGATGTCACTGAATACGCATCATAAGTGTGAGGATGAATTACTTCACAGATCAAATATTTACATCAAAACCATCCAGCAGCTTCAGATCTCCACATTTTCCCCCCCAAATAATTGATCGCTCTCCACTTTGCATCCCAGATGTCGCCACATGTGGCCATTGCTGCCTTTTAGGGGCGTTTCCTCCCATCCGCTCACCACCAAAGCGTCCCCGTCCACCGCGGCCGCCATCTTGGCACACAGCTCCTCGCAGCAGACGTTCTCCTCGGCCGTGACCACCAGCGCCGCGCAGCGGGCGAACACGCGGTACAGCTTGGCCCACGAGGACAGCATCGACTTCTGGGCCGCCTGAAACGACAGCGGCGGTTAAAGCGGGACCTCTGGGGGGGGGGGGGCGGGTAAGGCGAGGCGAGGCCGCGGCGGAGAAGGGGAGACCTGCTGCAGCGGCGTGCCGCGTAGGAGGTGTTGGATGGGGAACAGCAGGGCGGAGTTCACGGCGCTGAAGTTGTGCTCCAGAGCGTCGCCTTGGTTCACCTCATTAGACTGTCAAACAGGACGAAGATCGGAAATGTCCATTTCGGCTTCGACACAAAAGATTCGAATGAGCAGCAGCATCTCTGCGCCCACCTGCGTGATGGTGTCGGTGAGCGGGGTGACGACGGCGCTCCACGCCCTCCACAGGTGCTCCTTCTTCTGCACGGAGGCGGCGCTGCGGCGGATGGCGCCCAGCACCGCCTCGCCAAACGCCAGCGGGGAGGTGGGGCCCGACAGGCCGCAGCCCACCAGGGTCTGAAGGCACTGGAAGAACCTGCAGGAAGGGGAAGGGGGCGGGACATTTGATTCAGCTGCGTCACATCTTTGTAAATCGACGTAACGATGCAATAGATTCAAACATTCATCAAAAGCAATAATTTTTATTAAAACTAAAAACGCAACCCTGCGTCTCCTTTTCCCAAAATGGGCGCACGGATCAAACGGACCCACCTCTCGTCCTCCATGCAGGCGGAGAGCGAGCCGCTGTCGTACAGGAGAACGATGAGAAAGAGAGCCGGCGTCCCCTGGAGGAACAAAACGCCGCCGTTAGCCAATAATCGTTGTCGTGGGCCGGTTTCCTGAAATACCGAACGTCGGCGCTCACGTTCAGCACGTCCATCTTGCCCACTTGGTAGGAGGCGGAGCCGAGGACTCGCTGCGGAATCCCGTTCACTGTGGCTTCAAACAGGATCTGAGGGAGAAGATTCAGCAGATCCATTACGAGCGCCTCAAAGAAGAACCGAAACTGAACAATCAAATTCAAAAGAGCGGCTCAGGAGCAGGCGGCGATTCACTGAAACCATGACGACGAGAAGAGAAACCGGGAGTCCTGCTCCTGAAGGCCACTCGTCGGGGGTCTCACCAGCACTTTGTCTGCAGGCAGAGCGTCTGAGACGACGATGCTCTGCAGAGCCCGAAGCATCAGCGTCAGCACGTCGCCCCCGTGGCGGTCCTTCTTACTGCCTGCAGGGGGCGGGGTCAACTCATCAACGACAACAACAACAACAACAAAAGGCAAAGAAACATGTTTTCTTTTTTTCTTTTTTTTTTTAAAGGCATCATCGGGGACGAACCCCTCAGTTGTTTCTCTCGTCACGGCGGCCCGCACCACGAGGATCGGACCGCTCTGACTTAAACTGATGTGACAGTGCGAGTGGGCGGGGCGCGGGGCGAGGACGGGGGGTCTCATCGGCGCCTCGTCCCAAACGACGGAGCCCCCGGGACCCAATCCAGAGTGCTCTATGTGGAGCGACGAGGCGGGGGACCACAACTGTACAAGATCCCCGCACTGCTGAGCCGCCACAATCACAGCGCGTCAAACAACAAACGAGCGCTCACCTGATTCCATCGCCAAGTTGACGAACCGCACAAGACTGCTCCACAAAACGGCCAAAAGAGCTTCTGACGGACGAGGAGAGACACACGGACATGCAGATTATCAGTGGCACATGGACGCAGGGGTGAGAAGAGGTCCCACAAGAACCGCGCCCGGTTACGGTTCCTATGGAGCGCCAGCGCACTCGACTTACCTGGAGCGTCTCTGCCGACGCTGGTGAACCCGTCCCTGATGTTGGCGGTGAGCCCGGCGGCGTGCTTGGTGAAGGAGGAGGTACCAGAGAAGAGCGGGTGGTTCAAGGGTTCTGCGCGGGAGAGACAACCATAGCGAGAAGGTCGGAGGGCTTCGCTGGCTGCGGGAGAACGCTCGGCTCACTCCAACGAGGTGCTCCGGGTTCTCGTTGTTAAACGCGACGGGTCGTTTTACACTCAAAATGGGGAGAACATCGGCGTTCGGCATGAGAAGCAACACGCGGAGGAGCGCCGCTCACCCAGGCTCAGGCTGAGCTTTTCCTTGGCTGCCGCGGCGATGACCTCCGGTCCCAGGAAGTAGTGGAGCAACATCTCCAGGCCCAGCAGCTGGATGGAGGGGAAGGTGGTGGCCATCTGGACGCTGGAGTTGAGGCTCATCCGAGACGTGTTGGCTGAACTGTTGAAGCCTGCCGTGTGGAGGAGGGGGGTTAGAATAAGAAGTCGCATCAGAGGGAGTGGGCACGTCGGCGGTGTGTGTGTGTGTGTGTGTGTCGCGCACCGGTCTTCGGCGTGCCGGGTGCGACGGAGCCGTTCTGACCGGCGGCTCTGGACGAGGTGCCGGGGACCAGAGGGGGGTCGGAGCCGATGGTGCACTGGAGCAGTGGAACCGACACCTGCAAGGTGACAAATCGAAAAATGAGAAACGTTGTTCATCGGGAGGATGAACGTTATAAAACCAGCGACGCAGAAGACCCGAGAGTCTCACAGCACTCACGTTTAGCCACAGATACGCAATATGGGCAGAAGCCTCTTTAGGAGTAACACCCATATTCTTCTCCCTGAATAACAGAGCGTCTGACCTGATCAAAGTTGGGGGCCAGGTTGGGCCCGAGTTGGACCACCAGGTACCACCAGACCTCCACCTTGGTGAGCAGCAGGACCTCCGTCCGCACGTTGATGGACATGAGGGGCTGCATCAGCAGCTTCACGCGTTTGGTGCTGCACAGGATGTCTTCAGGAGCGACAAGCGACAAGTTAGAGCTCAGCCACACGGACGGGAGGCTGAAAGGGCGGGGGTGGGGGGGGGGGGGCTCACCTGGATCCAGGGCGAAGTTGTCGATGAGGCTCTTCCAGGCGATGAAGGCGATCTTCTTGATGGCGGGAGAGGAGCTGCGGAAGCCGAGCTCCTCCAGGTGCAGCAGACTGTTGATGAAAGGACCTCCTCTGTGCAGCAGCTGAGTCGGGAAGGTGGCAGAAGATGCAGCGAGGGCCTCAGGTGGGGGGGGGGTGAACCTGCGCACGCGGCGCTCTACCAGCCATCAAAGACCTAAGCGTTTGTAATCAGCTTGCCGCGATATAAAAAAAGCACAAAAAAAAACACTTTACCTTCCCGAGCAGTTTGACGAATAACGGCCACAGCTTCAGCACGTTGGCTTCATTCTTGGCCAGAAACAGCTTTCGCAGCTCTGGGATCAGTTTCTGTGGAGAAAATAAATAAATAAATAAAGAGTTTCCCTTTCCTCTCGGCGGGTGTTGAACACGAGGAAGCCCGGCCGCACGTAGAGCGCACGGGGCCGCTCACCGTGGACATCATGGGCTCGATGATGCCGGCCACCTCCATCTGCTTCTCCAGGAGGAGGGGCATGCCCGTCTCCAGGGCCGCCGCCGCCCGCAGCCGCACCTTGGAGGCGGAGTGCACCACCAGCGGGATGACGAGCTTCGCCCACCTCAGCGCTCCCTCGCCCATCTGGACCGGGACTTGCTCCAGCATTCTTCACAGTGACAGAACCACCTCTTAATATCACAGTGAGCGGTTCCGCTCGGACGTCTCCGTCGTCTCTTTTCTACCACTCAATGTCAAATCATATTTGAATTAAAGAAAAGACACCGGATGTCACATTGGCAACATCGTCTCGTCTGCCGATAGAAATACCTCCACCCCGAGAAGCCTCGTCTCGCTTTACCTGATGACGACGTTTAAGGCCTCGTGCTCCATCACCGCGGACTGGACGTCCCCTCTGCTCCACACGCTCTCCAGTGTTCCCAGTATGGACGCCGCCTGAGAAGTGGAGCATTGTGGATAAACACGGCCGCACCGGTCACCTCACCCCCTGGTTCTCGGGCCCGTTTCCCTGGACATGAGCCTGGGCTGATGTTCACCTTTTGGCCGACCACATCTGCAGGGAAGCTCTGCTTGGAGATGACCCACAACGCCCTGGTGCAGGTGTTCTTATCCGCCGACTTCACCACCAGGGAGCAAAGCGCCGAGAGGATCTCTGCCGCAAATGTGTCTGCGAAACCCATAAAAAGGGCGTCACCCTCTGCAGCAGCAGGACACTTCGGGTCACACGAGAAGACATTGGAATGCTTTGGAACGGGTTAACGAGCGTACCGGGGACCCCGGAGACAACGCGAGCGTGGTACACGCAAAACCCCAGAGCCTGCAGGGCCGCTTGGCTCAGCTCCGCGGTCGGACTGCTCATGTGAGCCTGGACGCAGCAGGAGACCACACAGGAATTATGCATCACAGAGAGAAAGGGCCGATGGGACGGATTCCTGTATGTCCACGTGCACAGCGGATGTCCAGGAGCACTCACCAAGATGGCTGTACCCAAACGGGGAAAGTGCCTCTCCACGGCCGGAAGGAACTGTCGGCCTTCATCTCCGCTGAGCCGACTGGAAGGAGAGAAATAAAAGAATTACGTGAGGCAACGCAGCCTCTCACACACCCAGAGAACCCCGGGCCGTCACCCGGGGGACCTCGGGACGTACTTGGCGATGGTGAGGTAGGCGTCCGTCTGCTCGGCCTGGTCGGTGGTGACATCCTCCAGAGACTCCAGCAGAGGAAGGAGGCTGCTCGGAGGCTCCGCCGTCGCCATGGAGATGACTGGAGGACGCGCAGAGCAGGAAGGAGTTAGAGCTCGGGGGAAGGAAGCAACACGACATAAACAAAACCGCCGCCGGCCTGCAGCGTTTCGCTCCTAACGGTTTCCCTTCACCCAAAGGCGACGCCTGCAAATCATCCTGCAGGATGTGAAGGACCAAACCTGGCTGACGTCAGTCCTGTGGTCACCGTCATTACTCCTCCCGTCTGCCCAGGTGCGCATCACCAGCAGTGATGTCAGAGCTCTTTAGCTTCCGCTTTGCTACATTCGGCCTTTTTCGTGACTTATTCACACGTTGTGAACACGCGGGTCACGAAGGTTTCCCTCGGTCGTATATTTGCAAACGAGTATTTGATGATATTTACCCCGCGGGGGGGTTCTCACATGGAGATGACGTCATGATCAGCAGACGTCACTCACAGCAGACGTCACTCACCTCGGGGAGACTTACGTGGATCTGTGATCGCCCTCCGCCGAATCCAGATGTGTCCGAGGGGAGCTCGAACGAAGACAAGGGAGCGTCGCGAGGGCGCAGATGTGTGGCCTCTGGCAGCCTGGCGAATGCCGAATGCTACCGGCGGCTAAGCGGAGCTCCGGTCGGACTCCCCGAGGAGCCAAAACCCCGCGTCCGAGCCGCTCCGGATCACTGAAGCGCGTCGAAGAACTCGCGTGGGACGTGGAAGCGCCGCGCGGCGCGCTCGCGTTGACTAGCTGCAACCGGTTAGCTCGCGCGCGCTGCGTGTCGCGCAGCACAACTTCTACGCGGGGAAAAGAGCGGACGAAAAAAAAGGTACCTTTGACCCCACGACGTCACATCCGGGTCCGCCCATTTCGCCTTATAAGGAAAGCGATGCGCCGAAAAGTGTTGCGTTTGCTTGCAGAAATACCACGTTCACATTTTCCAAATACTTGATGTATATATAAATAGTATATATATTAGTATATTTATGGTACATTTGTCCAGAGGAAACAGCAGGTGGAAGATTCTGTAATTTCCAGACATTATTGTGCAGATTTATGTCCATTAAATCAAGTGGAAATCTCTTCAAATTACTTCTTATTGTGAAATATCCCTCAAGCGTAGCTCTCATATTAGCTTTGAATTATTTTTTACACTGAAGACAGATTTGTGTTACACTGAAATCACTGAAGGGATCTGTTAAACGCCAGTAACCACAATGGTAATAATAATAATAAAAATAATAATAATAGAACATCTAAATATGTGAGCAAATCTAACGACCTGATTTAAATTTTGACACCAGTGAACAAATCTCCTGACTTTTTGAACTATTAAATCTCGTATCTCATCATTGATACTTGTACATCTTTAAAGGTTCACCTGAGTTCATAAAACCAATATGTTGACTGCTTTTGTCATTATACTTTTCACAGTCCAGCTGACACAATTTGGAATCACACAACTACACTTTACAAATAAAGGGTATTTATTGTTCCAAAACAACGGATGGATGACAGGAATCTCTGCCAGTGGGTCGAGGAGACGGTGCGTTAGAACTTGCTTCATGTTTCGCTGTGAAACAGAAAATAAAGCAAAGCGACAACACAAAGATTTGGAAGCAGAGCAGATCTGCTACCCGAAGACGACTGTTCAGGTATCTATTCATTGTAACCTCATAACTCTACAATATATTGCTGTACGTTGTAAACACATTGTTGCTCCATAAATATAGATTTGTTTGCTATATTCAAGTTATTACTTATGACACTTAATAATGTGCTCTACATTATAAACATACACTATTTTTATCAACATTCTACATTTTAGATTAATCAATTTCCAAACAAAAAGTAGATTGTCAACATCATTATGTCTTTGTGTTAGTTAAAAAATGTGCTTTTGGTACATTGTGGTCATCATCCGTTTATTGTTTGCGGGCGTGTCAAAATGCGAGTCAACTAGATGATCGGGTCCCGCTCAGGACACTTTACTTCCCGTCCAGGTTGAAGATTTCTTGGCTCTCGATGAGGATGAATTCCACAATCTGGTTCTGGTAGACCAAATTGACCGCCATGTTCCCCGTGTCCAGCTCCGGCCACATCAGCGTGGGGCCGAACACGATGCCGATGCCCTGAGTTGACATCAGGTTCTTCTTGGAAAAGTCCAGAACTCTGAAGAACAACAGATGGTGCGTGCCGGGTTACGTTTGAAACCACTCTAGGCGTTTATTTTCGAGACCGTAAGCAGTTACTCAATTTAAATTCCCTGCAAATTGACTGCCGGTGTCTCAGGACTCCTCGGTGTCCTCAGGCGTGGTTCCAGTGGACGAAGGCTTACCTGTGCAAGTGGCTGAAGAGCAACTTCATCGTGTCTCGATTTGGTTTGGGCAGTTCCTGGATCAGTTTCTTCACAGCCTGAACTTTGAGTTTGGATTCTTTAATCTCTGCAGGAGAAAACAAACCGCCGCAGTTCATTTGTGGTTCTTTTTTCGTTACAAGCAACGTTTTGTCAATTAATGTGAAACTCCTTTTGTTGCGGTTCAAGGGTCCAGTGTTGGTTCCTGATTGAGCTTTCATTCACTTTTCATCTCTTTTTTCGTTATATTTGTCCATTTTCCCATAACACCTTTTCTTCTTGGCAAGGTTTTTTTAATTATGTGAAGCATCAATCAAAGCTTTTTTTGCAAAAGGCAACGATAATGAAGGCAACACTTATTTCAGGAGGATCTTTAACAATAGATTCTTGCTAATAAAGAGACACATGCTGATTCTTGATCTTGATAGTTAGTTTGACTCACTGATGGCCTCCACAAATGGCGTGAAGAACCTGAAGGGGAACAGCGGCTCGGGCAGCTCCCGGAAAAACAATTTGAGAGCCCCAGTGATGACGTGGATGTCCTCCCACTGACTGTGGTCCAGGTCCAGGGGCTCCTCTAGGGGCCGAGACCAGAACAAGACTGGGGTCATTGCATTGAATGTCTACGAACATCAACACAAACTATTCAATTTAAAAATTGGGAAATGTTCAAATTTCCGTCATTATGCCGAACAAACATAATCCTGTTGACTTTGCGTTTCTGTTCATTTCCTGTTGTAAATTGTTAACAAGTCACCTGATGAAACAACATGCTCTGTTGAACTGACCCTGATCCACGATGAAGCGGAGCTTCTGGATGGTTGCCAGATTTCCACTAACTCTGTAGATCCCGTCGGCATCCAGACCTGAAACCACGAATGAACGAAATGTGTGATTAGTGTTTCATAGAAAACTTCAAAGAAACCGACTTCCATCAGTAATCTAAAATGTAAAAAAGCTCCTTCTCGGTCTCTCTGCTGTTTCTACTGTCTCTCTGTTGCCTCTGCCCCCCCCCCCCCCCGAATGGGGGACCCACCTTGCCTTTTCAACAGCATCCAGACAGATCTGAACAAACCTCGGCACCGTGGTTCCTTCTCGCTCACAGAGGGTCAGCAGATGGCAGCCGAACACTCGATCTGAGACAAACATTGTAACAGTCGGTTCATTGTTTAGAGATAAGATGCGTGAGGTCTGAGCTGAACTCTCAGCTTTATCGGTCTATGTATGACTAGTTGTCAATGTTAAACCATAATTGTAAACGGTTCCTCCCAGACGGTTGTTACACTCTTAAGAAGAGGTAAAGGCACTCATGGGTCAGAGGTTGAATGTGTAAAGATAAGCAGAAACCTTTGATGAGGCCTTTTTCCTTCAGAGTCTTCATGGACGGACGTCGGTTGATGAACTTCTTCAGTCGGTTTTTCACTCCGCTCTTGTCTGCGCTGTCGGAGGCGCTGTGCTTCAGCTTGGAGCTGCTGAACATATCTGCAGAAAAACATAAACGTTAAACCCGTGAAAGGGTTAAAGGGCAACAGGATCATTCATTCATGGTTTGTGGAGGTCAAGTATCCTCTCTCTCTCTCTTAGCTCAGTTTTTGGTCTCCACACCATTTCACCAAGAAGGTTTGTGAGTTTAATGTGATTTGGCCAACAAGTAAGCAGACAGACAGCGGAGAAGCAGATGGTGAGTGCCTTCATTCCCCACTTGTGCGTTGTTTGTGAGACTTCTTGACAGCCAACCGATCCGCATCGTCTGCCAGACTCCAGCCCAGCCACCGGCCTAAAAGCCCCTTGTCCTTCCCAGGCGTGAGTGAAGGAGACGTTCATCCCCCAAACTGCCCATCGACCCGGCCTCTACTGCCCACGTATGCCCTGCTCCTTGTCTCCTACCACCAGAGGAACCAAGCCCCTCTTGTTTTATTAGCAGGCCAATCAAGACCAGCAGAATGTGTCCCGTTGGTGGTCCATGTCCATCCGGCTTCTTGTCTCTCGCCCGTAGTCTCGCCGACACCTGTTCCAATTGGACAGCGCATCCCTGCCATCGCCATTTTTAAAGTAGCTACCTTCTCGGTTCTGTTCTGCTCCTCCATCACCGTCTGGTACGCTGCAGCCACAGCCAAGGACAAGGGCAGGCTGCAGCGGGTCATCCGCTCTGCAGAGAGGCTGATCGGCTGCAATCTGCCGTCCCTGCAGGACTTGTTCGCTTCCAGGTCTCTGAAGCGAGCTAAAAAGATCGCGGCCGACCCCTCTCACCCCGGACAAAAACTGTTTGTGCCCCTTCCATCTGGCAGGAGGCTGAGGTCCATCAGGACTACGACCTCCCGCCACACCAACAGTTTCTTCCCTTCGCCAGTCGGGCTCATCAACAGAGCAGGTCCCCCACTGCCTGACTATAACACTCCACCGGTCACTCCCCTTCATACTGCACATGTGACTTTAACTGCAATTCATCACTTTGTCGTCACTGTCACTTGTCTCTGTCTGTACTGTCGTAGTGCACTTTATGCTAAATTTTCCTTTTAACTTTAATATTACATTTTTTAACTTTATTCCCTTGTTTTATACTAACCCATAGCCTTAGCCTTATTCTACTAACCCATTGCATTAGCATTTCATTCCACTTTATTTTATTACTTGTGCACTGTTGTCTTGTCTGTCTACTGTCGCGCACTAACCGCCAAGACAAATTCCTTGTATGTTTGACATATTTTGGCTAATAAATGTTTCCTGATTCCTGATTCCTGATTCCTTGGTTGCGTTCTGGTGTAAATTTGCCTGTCAGTCTCTCCCCCCCCGTTAAGATCAAGTTTTGAACGTCCAGAATGAAAATAAGTTTGTTGTATCTCCAAACTGCAGTTCGGTCCAGAGTTGTTCCAACGAGAGCCGTCCATCCACTAGAGTGGTCCCGCCCCAGTCGCCCGTCAACCACACTATTGGTTAAGATGTTATGAATCAGAGGAAAAACGTAATAACGGTTAAGAATATGGAATCTTGAATGCCTACAAGAAGCAAAGCTCAGCAGAATAGAGCCGGAAACCTCCACGAGGAGCACAGTATGTCACGTACAGCACCAACGGCTCCGGGTGGGCTACTCACTGATAGAGCGTCTGTGGACTGCGTTTCGCGGCTTGGTGTTGGGCGAGGCGGATGCATATGCAGGTAGTGAGCTGTGTCTGGGCAGGTACTCTGTGCTGTTGGATCTCCTCAGAGGAAGTTTAGTCTGAATAGAAAATAGTTTTAATCAATTTCAGAAAGGATTTATACAACATCTGAAAAAAAAAAAAAAACGTTTAATGAACCAGTGTCATGTTTATTGCATATACGCCGACACAAAGATAAAGCAGAAATAGAACACAACAAAGTTACTAGTGATGTAGTAGGTTATTTGGTCATCAAAATGTGTATCCAATAATATATATACATATTTTCTCCATCTTCATTTCCTCAACATTTTAAATGTACACATTTTATATGAGTTGTCCTCTTTGTTTACCTTCTTTACGTCTCCTTGCGTTCATCACATTTTAACCTCACATTGCAATGACTTGTGGGTAATTCCCTTGGGCACTTGAACCTCTTGCTCATTATGGAAAGGGTTCACAAAGGGATTTATTTCTTGTGCAATTCCTTTTTACTTTTTTTCTGGTCGTTGAAGATGTGTAAACCGGTCCTTATTGTGAAGTGAAAGACGTAGTGGGAATACTAAATAAGTGGTGATGTATATGTTGTGATCCCGTAGCAGGATGGTCTGTGGTTTGCATTTAGTTGTCTTACCATAACAATGCATTCTTGAGGTGTAATAAATATCAATAAAACATTTACATTATGGCATTTACAAAGCTCGGCCCATCTAGTTAACCCTTTGGTCCCTTCTTCTTCCCCACAAAAAGAGGTGCATCCATTTAACTTGTGTCTGCAAAACAAAATCGGATCCTAGTTGTATTTCATTAGTATCAATGTCATTCTAGCTCATTTTGTGCAACCACCATTTAAAGTGCTGTCAAGAGGTGGTGGTCATCTGCCGTGTTTCTGTGAGATCAAATATAACAGAAAACCAAATGTTTGGAATTTGGTTGTAGAAAAAAAGACATTAAAAGAACCAGACGAAGTAAACTGGAAAGTTTGAAAACAGTCAATTTCAAAATTGATTTGAATTGGAAGTAGTGCGTTCTTACGGAATTGTCGATGGCCTTTCTGATGCCGTTGTACCATTTATCGGCGGAGGAGTAACTGTCAGTCTGAAGGAGGTACTCGCTTCCAGTGTTTGTTGTGACCTGAAACAGATGAGAGCGATGACTTTGGTCGGGTACTTTTAGGTGTGCATGAAGGTACGAAGCGTTGCCGCGTGATCGCTCAGTGGGGTCGTTACCTGGAAGACGTTTTTCCTACTTGACTTGTCTGTCGTCCACGCAATAACAGCTCCACACAGCTGGACCACATCTGTCTTACTTCCTGGTTTCTGAACATTGAGGACGGGTATGACGTCAGACGTTGTAGTTATGTATTAAGTTCCAACTGCTCTGTGTAGTGGGGTCCAACACAGGTTTAACCCTCAAAAATAAAATATTAACAAACCGCACTGGCTACTTTAAGGATACCGTGTGCTTTAACAATTCTAATATCTGAAAGGGTTAGGGTTTTATTTCCCAGGTGGTGTTGGTTCCCTCATAATCCCCTATTAAGACCCCGCCAGAAAAAATATACAAACAATAAAGCAAGGTAATGTATTTTTGTACCAGAGGAGTTTCTTGTTTCTCTTTATAAAAACGCAGCTGGCCGGGGGTCAGTACGCTCCACATGACGTTCCAGTTCTTCCTTTGCTTCTTACCGCTCTGTGAGATTTTAGCCACATTCAGATGTTCACCTTCCAGCTCCACCTGGACACACACACACACATTGTGTTTGATCTTTTGATATTTATTTACGTAATAAAAGGTCAAATAGGAAATGATGTTTAATTAATTGAAATGTACCAAAAACTAGATTTGCCAGGAGTTGGATGAAATAGGAAGGGAGGATATATTTAATCTGTGATGAGACAATGCAATTGTTTTCAGGCTGGATTTTGATGAGTTGAAAACTGTGTTGTGAAAATCCATTTTCAGCCCAATGCATCAAATACCTACATTGAGCAATGAACAAATCACAGTATTTCATGCTTTGGGAGTGGTGTCCTTAACCTATTCTCATCTGATAATGCATTCTCTAAAGGGTTTATTTACATTGTAAAACAGGTAGGATAGAATTGTGTTTGATGGAAAAATGTATTTAAAGTCAGATTAGAAAAATCCAAATAATTCTTTACATGGCCCTAAACCTGATCCACACAAATCCTTTTTATATTTCATACATATGGTTCAAAGGCGGAAAGTCCTTCTCCTGCAGCTAAGACGTTGTGCTGAGATTGATTCCTGCGATGCCGAGAGATCTACAAACAGAAAAAAAAAGGTTAAAATTGAGCTGCACCACTTTAGGATGGAGTTTCCATGTGGTTTACTGACGGGGTTTTTAGGGAGGTCGGACTCCTGCAGGACCATGGACTTGGACTGACTGAGGCGGTCTGCCGAGCTCTGGGGGCTTTTCATGCGCATGTGCACGGCTTCCTGCGATGGAGGCAGAATCAGAGTCGGCGGCTTCACTGCATTTTGGAGGTTAGAGATTCTAGGAGGGAAAAAAAGGGTTTTATTAGTCAACGGGACTCTGAACCCAGCGGCCACGTCATGGAGGGATGCTGTCCTTCATCTCTCCTTCAGCTTGCTCACTAACTCCTCACTTAGTAGAATAGAAAGAGCACCAGCCACCTTGTATCAAATCAATGCTGTTAAGAACTAGTGTGCTCTGAACGTTTTGTAGTTATGGCATCATTCCGCTCCAAGCAAACCTTGAGTTCTATTTAACTACAAGTTAGCAGTTGTGTGGATGGGAAAACACGTGTTTACGTTCTCACGTTCAGAACCCGACCCTGAGGTCAGTGTCACAGTCGCACTGAGACAACAGGAAATGGTAAAGGTGGAAAAAAGCGTTGCAGCGGTTATGACAACTTTTTCTATAAATAAAATGCTGCACTTGTGCATTTTGTGCTACTACTACTCGAGAGGAAAATAAATGTAAGGTTATTTCGGCAAGTTCATTACAAATTAATCAGTTTGAATATCACAGTCAACTTCCAATTTCATCAATGACCTCAATCACTCTCACCCGTTAGCCACACCCTCCCCATCAGCTCAATCACACTCTTTTGTTAGCCACACCCTCCCCATCAGCTCAATCACACTCACCCGTTAGCCACACCCTCCCCATCAGCTCAATCACACTCGCCTGTTAGCCACCCCCCCCCTTCAGCTCAATCTCTCCCACCTGGAAGCCAAACCCCCCCATCAGCTCAGTCAGTCGCACCGGTTAGCCGCAGCCACCCCGTCGACCATATCACTCGTTATTAAAAGGTTATAAACAGAGGGAGGAGGAGAGAAAGGGTTATGCACACACTAGTTAAAACCTTTCATTAAGCTTCTGTGGGGTCTATTGTTCCCAGTCTGTGGATCCTGGTGCGACAGACAGCTGGGTTCTTTCCCTCGAGTTTAAGAATTGGTCAATCAGCCCGGGGATGGCAGGGTTTCTTGGAAGGAACTAATGAATTGGGATATATTTCGAAGGTACATTATCCCTGTTTCTCCTCAATCCTTATGGTGGGATCAAACCTATGGGCTTCTGCCACATGAAAGGCGATTCAGATTCTGTGCCAGCCCTCTGGCATTGCTTTAAGTAGATCACGCTATCCCTCCAGCTCTTTCAGCCTAAATTCAAACCAGCAGTACCAATTACCCTAATATCTGTTACACTCAGATGGGGATGGCCCTCGGACCGGCAAGCCTTTTGTACGTACATGAGGACAACTTCTAGATATCTTTCGTTCCTGAAGGAGGACTGCCTAGAACTCCTCTTTCTAAGGACTGTGAACATAGTTGGGATTTCAGGATCCCCAGAAAGATGCGATTTGGATGGAGCTTGATCGACGTAACAAGGAGTGAGAGTCTGTTGGTTTGAAAAGGACCTTGGTGTCCCAGCTGGCTGTTGTTGGAAAATTTGAGCCTTTGAATGGGGCACAAGGGAAAGATTGATTCTTCCCAACTGGCCATGTAGGTCTGCAAATGGTTGGGCAAGTTCTTTCCCTATTGTTGGCCATCAACGTCATATCTAGTCAGTCTGAGCTCTGGTACTTTCAGTGTATCACTTTTTTCACCACTGCCCATTGATGTGTTGCTGTAGGTGTAAAGACTTTTGACATGCATGGTGAAAAATAAAGAGGGATTGTCCAGGGGGATTGTTCGTTACTTGTAGAGGACGTTGTATGTGTCTTTGGAGGTAGCTGGCGTTGGCCGGTTGGAAGGGGGATTGAGATGGTGGTCCAAGAAATCCGCTGTTATCTCCCACAGTTGCAGTTGCAGATTATGAGTCCACCTCGAGGGGTTCCTCTGGGGGACTGGGCATGATTCCGGTGATTTGTAGATTTGGGGTAGGAGGTAGAATAACCTTATACGTTGGGTACACGTCGTGGAGAGTTTTGTTTCTTGGGGGGTAACCATTGTTTCTTGAAGAACACCCGTCTGAGGACCATTGAGGCCAAAGTTTTGTCCAGAAGAACAGCCGCCTGGATATTTGCCTCTAACCAGGTGCAATGTTGGCTGTTGTTCAACTGTCGTGTAGGCTTCGGTCCGTGAGTAAAACCAATCCTTCTTTATGACAGTGGACGTGTTGGCTCGAAGCTTCAAAAGGGTCTGTCTCTCCGGCGGTGTTAGATTAAGGCCTCGTGTTGCATCACCACAGACTGGATGTCGCCTCCAGTCTTCCCAGTATAGACGACGCCTGAGAAGTGAAGCATTGACGATAAACAGAGCAGCGCTGCAACAATTTTCATCCTTTTAAAAACCCCTCCTCCCAACCCCAGGTTCGAAGGCTTATTTCACTAGATTTGAGCCTCGGCTGATGCTCACCTTTTGGCCGACCATCATCCTCTGCAGCAAAAAGACACCCATAGACTTTAAATCACAAACCGCACAAGTGTTCCCTCTATTAGGACACCAAGATTATTATAGTTGCAGATATACTCTTTTTTTTTTTGTTGCCATGGTCATGCCATTTTCAAGCAGGGGTTTAAAACATGGCTTGGCTTTCATGAGGTTAAAGAGAACATAGAGAGCAGGATGGAGTTAAAGCTTGGGTAAAAGCTTAGTAACCAAGAAAACATGTCAAACTCTTTTGCAAATGAAAGTAGTTTGCAGCACAAGCTCGCTAAGGTTTCTGAATCTAATAGTGAGTCACCGACATGACGCCGAACCACCAAGCGGACGTACAAACATGCCTTTGACCACATGAGTCACATCCGGGTCCGTCCATTTGGCCTTATGAGGTAAGCAGCAAGCTGGAAAGTGTTGTGATGAATGCAGGGACGATTACAATCAGGCAGTTTATGTTATTTACAGAACAAAACGGTGAATAAATATGAATTTGAAAGGGAAGTACGTGAAATAGAACGGTCCAAAAGCTAAATTACTGAGGAAAAAGATGACTTTGTAGAAATAGACAGTCACAAGTAATATTCCTGCTTTTATTATAATCTGATGACAGGGCTAATACTACCACATCCACACTTTCCGTGTGTGTGTGTGTCTGACAAGTAACGTTCCTGCATTCAAAATCATGCTCAATGAAAAGTACAAAGTTTGAGTGAATTTCCCACCAGGAATCATCACTCAATTTTTTTTTTTCATAATATTACATTTTATTTGTTCGCAACTGCTCTACACAAACCTAATGGAGACTTTGTACATTCAATACAGTACAGTCAATAATGTAACACCAGATGTAACATTCTAGTTAATTATTGCAGTGATAAAATGTTCATTAGCACGGAATAATTATTATTGATTGTTTTCAAAATGTGATCAAAATGTCATATCTATAGTATACTTTTTTTAGTTACCGACCATGTCACAAATTTGCAAAATACAAAAATTAAAAAAGGCACATTTATACGACATTATAAATCAATGAACAAAGCAGATGTTTATGAATAATTTATGTGTATGGAGCTTTGAATATACAGAACAGTTGGCTGTGAAAATACTCTGCACTCTGAACGTTTAGGAAATTATTAGACTCGCTTACCCAGGACCTGACAGTCAACTTTGGAAACTCTGTGCTAACGCCCACTTCGACTGCTAAGAACCTCGGCGTCACACTCGACAACCAACTCTCCCTGACTCCCAACATCACTGCGACAACGCGATCCTGTAGATACACGCTCTACAACATCAGGAGAATACGTCCTCTTCTCACTCAGAAGGCAGCGCAGGTACTGATTCAGGCTCTTGTCATCTCCCGCCTGGACTACTGCAACTCCCTCCTGGCAGGTCTCCCTGCCACCGCCATTCGACCTCTGCAGCTCATTCAGAATGCAGCAGCTCGACTGGTCTTCAACCTTCCGAAATTCTCCCACACTACTCCACTCCTCCGCTCTCTTCACTGGCTACCGGTGGCTGCCCGCATCCAGTTCAAAACACTGGTGCTCACGTACCATGCTGTGAATGGATCGGGTCCAGCTTACATCCAGGACATGGTCAAACCCTACATCCCAACCCGCACTCTCCGCTCTGCATCTGCAAAACTACTCGTCCCTCCCTCACTGAGAGCAAAACACTCGACTAGGTCTCGACTCTTCGCTGTCCTTGCGCCGAAATGGTGGAACGCGCTCTCTGAAGACACCAGGACCGCAGAGAGCCTTCACATCTTCCGCCGCAAACTAAAGACACACCTCTTCAGACTCTACCTCGACTAAAGACTAACAAATTGTAGCACTTAAATTGTACTTGTGACGTCACTCATCTATAGCAAATTGTAAATTCGCTTATTTGAGGAAATTGCACTTTCTTGTTTCTTGTTCTCCTGAGTTTGTACCCTATGGTTGAATGCACTTATTGTACGTCGCTTTGGATAAAAGCGTCAGCTAAATGACATGTAATGTAATGTAATATTATTGTAACAACCAGAAAACAGGTTTGTTTTTCTGTAAAATAAACCTTGAATGAGGTCAACACAAAGTCACGATTGTTTGTCTAATCTAGGACGTAAGAACACCGTCAAAACCTTCAACACGTTCATTTATTTAATCAGCTTTCAGGAGGCATTAAACACAGCAGTGTCAGTGGGCGGAGCGGGTGTGGTTCTGTGACGACAGAGACGCGTCGAAGGCGACGTACTGCAGCTTGAAGCCGCCGGCCGTGACCGACGCGTCGGAGAGGAACTTCAGCGTCATCACGTTTCCTGCAGGAAGAAAAAAAAAAAAAACGAAACAAAGACGAAACGATCAGGAGGTTCGCCGGTGTGCGGCGGAGCAGCCAATGAGAGGAGGAGGGGGGAGGGCGGCTCACCTGTGCTGATGATGTCATCGGGTAAATAATCGCCGCAGAACCTGCAAAGAAACGAATAAACGAGAGACGTCTTCGCGGTGAATTGAACTTGCAGTGATTTCACGACTTTGTTTATTGAGCAATATTTGAATCATTTCTTCAGGGCAGGTTTTTGTAATAAGTGCAGTTTGGAGTGAAGACGATGCTTCAGGTAAAGTAACCCAGGTGAATGTGGCCCAGTGGTTGTTTCTGTGCCCAAATTGAGCCGACTTTAGAGCCTGTGAAGGACTCAGAGGCTTTTGAGAGGTGACTATTTATTTAACTATCCCGCTTTTGATGATGTCGAATGTCTCAAATCTCATTTGAGCTTTGTTCCAGAGCTTTTAGAATGAATTTGAGTCGAACATCCTGTTTCAAACGTTTCTTTGTTAAGTGTTTTGGGAGACTGGCTTCGTCGCTCACCTGCCGGCGAAGCCGGAGACGTCGTCGTAGCTGTCGAACACCTCCAGGTAGTCGGCCAGACACCCCACGTCCTCCTCCACGTCGAACTCCAGGAAGCGGAGGTGCACCCGCTGGCCCAGGCGCACGCGCACGTGCCAGTAGCAGATCTGCTCGTCCTGGTACTCCTCGGGGAAGCCGGGCGAGCGGATGACCTTCTGCTGGTCCGTCAGCACCCCGCCGCACTCCTTGGCTGTGAGACACAACTGTTCATTTACACGCCGTCGATTGGGAGTTTTTATTCCAACCTGCGGCGTCCAAACGGAAGCAGGGAAGCCGAATATCATGTTGACCTTTTGCATACCAGGAGCAGCTCGTTAGCGAGGGAACTTCAGAGAGAGTCCCGGTGCAAAGGGGCGCCTGGCACCGGCGCTCTGCGGGACCTGCTCGCTCAGCTGGTGCGGCGGTCGGAGCTTCAGCCCGCGAAGGGCCAGAGGCGCTGCCGGCGCTTTGATCGGCGCCCCGTCACGCCGGGAGGAGCACGAGGGCGTCAAGGGGGTGGATGGCCTGCGTGTTTCAGAACCCCCCCCCCCCCCGTCGCGCCAAAAGGGATTTCCCAAGTCGCACCGAGGACGTTTTATTTTTTTTATCAGTGTATCAAGAAAACCACGACACCGTGACCAAGATTATTCCTAACTTGGAAGGAATGTAATGAAGGTTTATGACTCACAAATCAAGTTCACAGGAATCATAAAAGCTACTCACCCCCACACACACACACACACACACACACACACACACACACACACACACACACACACACACACACGATTACTTTGTCAATTCTCTTCTGAAGCTAAAAAACTCGCCGACTGCTAGAAGAGTGATGAGAAAGAGTATTTAAAGAGGGAGAATCGTGTATTTATTCAACTTTTGCATCTTTTGTATGTAGATTATTATACAGCAGCCTTATGAATTATGGCTTCTGTACATTGAAATGAATGTAATCATTGTCAGAAGCCATGTTTCAATGCTGAAGTGTGCCTTGTGAATTATTCCACCACAGATTATATTCCATGTTTCGTGAACGTAAGAAGGGTTTTATAAGTATGAGCGTTTCTATTTCACGTCAGCGAAGAGGCAGCTCTGGACCTTCTGCTCAATTTTTGATCCCCCAGTGTTTCCCACTCATCCCCAGCGGGTGGGATTGTGCATCTGTTGAACTGGAGCTTTGTGTGTGTGTCGGGGGGGGGGGGGGTATTTATTTGTGGGTGGGTGGAGGTATTTATCTTGGCTGTGAGCTCTGAATGAATTCAGAAACGAAAGAACAAAAGCTCTTTGTTGGATGGAGTAAATGAAGCACACATGTGGAGACGGGTGAGCGCGGCGTCGGATGCTTCCCCAGACGGGACACAGGAAGGTGGAGCGTTAGAAAAGAACCCCGAGAAAGAAGTTTTCAGTGTTAGAGTTTGCTTTTGTGGGCTGAAAACACACTGAATGTCGTTTTATGGTCTACTTGGCTCCGAGCGGGCCGGACTTTACTAAATGAGCATCACGCCGCGTTGAAGAAGAATTTAAACCATAAATGAATTTCTTCTTTCCGCCCGATGCCAACTCTTCATAAACAAGTGTTGCATTAACATCCTGCTCAGAACATACAATACATTCACTCTTTAATAACTCCATTTATGCCGCTGTATTTAATATTCTGTATCAACATTTGGCCAAATTACTGTATGTAATATTAAAGCGTTGCTTAGTTTTCACCTCGGCTTTTAACGGATGAAAATGTTTTTTCTGAGACGTTTCTTTTAATTCTGTTTATTTTCAAATATGCATTTGAAATTATTTTCCAGATAAACTAAAAAGGATACAATAACCCGCTGTGAGATTGTGCCTTTCACTGCTGTGCTTTGCATCTCCTACCCTGAGTGAGTCTGTGGAGCCTCACCCTGGAATAATACCCCCTTCCCTCCCTCCCTCCCCCGCTGGGACCACATGCCATGCCTTTAAAACCACAAACAGATATCCACACCCCAGCAGACAAATAGTGGCAACGACAACCCACGCCCACGCGTACTCACAGTTGGGGTTGTAGCAGTACGCGTCCCAGCGCTCGCTTTTGTTGCGCCTGCGTCCGTAGTCGACGATGCCGACCTTCCCGAAGCCGCAGTTGGCTCCGGCCTTGACGATGGGGTAGCCGACGTGTCCTCTGTCGAACCATCCGGCGGCGCACACATGGAACCCTGAGCAAAGGGAGGAGGGGAGGGGGGGGGGGGGGGTCACAGTCAGCGGACACCCCAAGCCAGATTGGCCCAGGTCACAGAGGGACCCCCCTCTCCTCTCCCCCCCAGGTGGGCCGCAGCGGGGAACCTCAGCTGTAAGGGCCCGCTGACGTCACCCACCACCCAGGAAGGTGTTAACGGGCAGATTGCCGGGCGTGTACGTGTCGGACCTATTTGGCGAGCCGCCTCCAGTTGCTCGTAGGTGGCCAGCTTCCCCCCCTCGTATTTGCAGACGGCTTTGGCCTCCGTGTACGTCAGCTGGTACCTTCCCTTGCGTGACTCCCGGTGGTAAACTCCGGCTGCTTGCTCTGAGAAACAGAGAGAGAAGGTCTGTTATGAACACACGGAAATACGAGCCCTCACTTAAGTACTTCCATTCAGTGACGTTCTACTTCTTATCCGCTACGTGGTAAAGTACTGACGGTCTGCGAGCTTTATTTACTACACGGTTTACACCTCGTCGTGTCCCCTTCCTGTCCGGGGAGAACCAAGCGTCTCCAGATGTGTGGATGGATGTTTGTGACGGACGGCCCCTTCTGCTTCAGCGAGATGAACTCTTTTGAAAGGCTCTTTCGCGGATTCGCTACCAACGCGACGGAGGTGAAGAAGATCAAACAGAAGAGACATAAAGTACGTTTTAGAAACTTTTACTCGCACATGCACATTTAGCAGCTGGTCGTTGCTTTTAATGGAGTTTGGAGGAAGGAGGGAGACTCTAGCCGGGACAGCGGGAGTCTTCTGCTGATCCTGTTTTGACTCTTTCTTTAACACTGATTACACTCCGCTGTGCTCACTGTCCGGGGGCCCCGGGGCCCTCTCACCCCAATCAGGTTCTCCAACAACTTCGAAAAAGAGAATTTCCTGAATAATAGAAAACGTAAGAGAGGCGAAGGCCTGTGGCTCTCCCTCTGAGGTGGGAGTCATTTCAACAGCCCAACCGGCTGATTTCACTTCGGTCCTCTTCGTCTGTTTATGCCCAAAGAGAAACAAACAGCGGCGCATCGCTGCGGGAATAAACACGCAGCTGAACAGAAAACCTCTCGTCCGGTCACATTTGATGTATTTACTGTGTTCGCTGTGTTGAAAACGGGCTTTAAACGCGATGCCGGTTAAACGCGTCTCCTCCGACCAGTGAAACGCACCTCGGGTCGTGAGAGACGGACGGAAACGGCCGCGTCCGATAATCCGCCCGAGAGTCGTCCCCCCTCTCTCCCTCCCCCCACCGCGGGTGTCCCCGTGTCCTCACCCAGCCAGATGGAGTTGTGGAATATCCCGTTCCTGAAGCCCCACGGCCGCGTCTCCTCCAGCAGGGAGCCGAGCGTCCACAGGAGAACCAAGGCGCGCATCCTGCAGCTGCTCTGCCCAGATGTTCCGCCCCTCTGCCGCGGGCCTTTTATAAAGGAAGCGGTGCCGCTGGCTGGTGCTGCCGCCCCCCCACCACCCGACCCGAGGTAGGGAGGGGGGGGGGGGGGCAAATACGACTAACCTAAAGAGAAAGTGGCCTGTAGAGTCTACGCGTTGCGGTGATAATAAGTGGCGTTGAATAAAAGGAGAATACAACTCCAGGTGTTTGTTTTTCTTCCAGATGTTCTGTGCCTGTGTTCTTTCAGCACTTTGGAAACTGCTCATGTAATAATGCGATTCCCTCACGGCGCTGTAGGTTTAAGGTTTGTCACAGACATGATGGAATAAAAGGAAATGAGTTGAATGACGAGATCCAAATTTGATGCAGTTTCATTGTGGTTTTACACTCATGCGTCTCACTAACATCCATCAACGAACCTCTGGATGGTGTAATTCCTTGGGTGGAGTCCATGTGCGTTAATGGTGAGAAGTGTGTGAGGTACATTTAGTGTCTAAGGAGGAAATGCATGAAACACAGTGAGAAGGAACACACACACACACACACACACACACACATCAATGACTGCTGGGTGGAATTGCCCTGAATTGGTTCCAGATCTGGCAGGAAGTGACCTGTACCTCCTCACTTCTCCCTGAGCGTCTCCCTTTCTTTCCCACTGGTGGAAAGTCCGTCTCAGGCGCAGTAGTTGCGACAGCCGGTCTATTACAGCGTTTTAACAGGAGATGCATCATCATTTCCATGTGTCCCACAACCACAGAGAGGAGGTCTGCAGACCTACATCGTGTCATCGTGGGTTCAGGAACTGGGCTTTCTCTCCTTTCTGCCGCGTTCTGGTCTCAGTGCTCCACTATCTGCCCAAGACATCTGGCAGCTTATTCTAAGAGAGACATTCGCAGGTTCTGTTTGACACCAACGGAACACAGAATATTCGATTTCCCCCCAAATGCTGTGCCTTTAAAGTCGCTTTGAAACTGTGATGAACGTTCGTGGTTAAAAGGATTTGGAAATCATCAGCAGGACCACGACGTTCTGGAAGAGATTCCCTGAGCTGCAGGGGGGCAAAGCCCTCACTCCCCCTCCTCCCCCCCAAGCCCTCACTCCCCCCCTCGAAGGGACGGGACATCTTCTGCACACGTGTCCAACGCGATTTAGGAGCAGAGCTCGTTTTATTGTTCAGACTCGGGCGACCGTGGCTGAGAAAAACTATGAGCCCCGATGGGGAGAGGATGGGAGAGGAGGCGGAGGAGGAGCAGGGAGGAGGAGGATGGGAGAGGAGGAGCAGGAGGAACAGGAGGAGGATGAGGAGGAGGAGCAGCAGGAGGAGGATGGAGAGGAGGAGCAGGAGGAACAGGAGGAGGAGGAGGAGGAGGAGGAGGAGGAGCAGCAGGAGGAGGGGGAGGAGCAGGATAGCGTCTTGGTTCCAGGACTGTCCTCAGGCCCCCTCGGGGGGCATCTGACCCGTAGCTGCTGCCGGTGGTCTCTGACACACGAACAAACCCCCTGCAGATGAAATGACGTCACCGGAGTGAACTGTGTCTTGTTTCCTAATCCATCCACTGCTTTGCTTTTATAAATCATACTTTTCAAAAGTCTGAATGAAACATATAGACGAATACGTCTCGTTTTACTTTAAAGTAAAATAAACTCAACTCTAACCAACTTCACTCACTGGTACTTTCATATTTGGATAAATGAGAATAAATAAGCACAATCTATTATTTTTTATTTAAAGTATTTGGAAGTGTAGGTGAAGTCAGCTGGACCTTCACACGCTGCAACATTGGAGAAGAAGAACATTCATGTGTGTATTTATATGTATACAGCGAGTGCTGGTGTGTGTTTGTGTGTTTGTGTCGTTCATTCTGCATAAATCACAAACTTTTAACTTAAACACTTTTATTCTTATATAAGAGACCAGTTCAACCAGTTCGCCCTGGGACCATCATGGACGTCCGGCCATCAAACGGCTGTGTCTGACTAGGAATCTCATAATAGGGGGGAAAGTTTTTAGGATTTGGGCCCGAGGTCCCACAACGGCACTTAAAGTCGTCGAACCCTTTCTGCTGAGTCTCTCTCTGTTACAGTGAAGTCACTTTGTTTTTGGGAGAAACTGTTTTGCCAATTTTTCAATAAAACTCAAAACTTTGCACAGTGAGACTTGATCCCACGTCTGATTGTCATCTATGTGACCAGAAGAGAACCAAAGCTGCTTTTTAAGAGTACCTTGTGTTCGCGCACGAAGCTTCATTAATACATCAAACCATTAAAAACGATACGACTGTAACTGGAGGCAAACGAGCTCAGCAGCGACTCAACCGCCGTGTTGCGCAATCGACTGAATTACATTTACCTACATTTTGATAAGACTTCATAGCTTAACAAGATTCTAAAATGATCAGAGTAAAACATCGGACCGCTTCTGGATTACGTGTCATCCGCGTTCCCTCCGGCGCCCGGTGGTGCGATGAGGCGGGCGGACCCACAGGGCCGCAGTTTAAGCAGTCGGGGTTTGAGGGAACTGCTGCCTTGCATGGCGATGACCTCACTTCCTGCCGCTGCGAGGAGAAGCGGTCAGCGGGGGCCTCCAGCACGAAGAGCTGGCGCCCCCCGGTGTTCAGATGACCTCCTCGAACGCGCCGACGCCGGTCACAGACGTAGGAGACGCGGACACGGAGAGAAATGCGTCTTTGGTGGGACGAACAGTCCTTTGTGACTTAATAATGATAAGCTCCTCCAACGTGTTTCCCCGACCTTCATGATTTTAAGAAGCGCTACTGACGCCGTCCCGCTCACTAGGTGGCAGCAGAAGGCCGAAGACCTTTAAAGCACAACAGTGCACTTAATGTCATCGTTACTGCAGAAACTATGAATGCTTCACTTTAAAATTAAACCTTTAGTTAATGTTAAACTCTGATTAGTTAAATTAACCTCTGTTGGTGCCCTGACAGTAAAGGTATTCGGCAGCAGGAGGTCAAAGGTCGAAGGGGGGGGGATGTTCTCCGCTCCAGCTGCTCCGAGAGAAGCGACGCTGCCGGAGGAGAAAGACGCTGCGTCCGAGGAAATAAAAGCGGAAGGACGAGAGGAGGAAATCCTTGTGAAAAACAGGAACGGCGACAAAACAAAAAAGGAACCGAGATTAAATCAGAGAAGACGGGAGGTTGAAGTGAGACGAGTGACTTCATCCGTTCGTGCGTTCAAATGCAGACGGCAGACGGGGGCAATCGTTCCATGTGCGGTGGCCCACTAGTCGGGACATCGATGGTCCCGACCTCCGTCTTTTTACAGCAGAACAAACGCAGACCTGCTCCACACGGGACATTCGTGCTGCTCTTAAAACTTCTTTGCACGTCGGAAACGAGCGAACGCGGGAGGTTTGTCGCGAGACAACGGAAGCACGTCAAGGCGTCGGACTGTGCGATTTAGTTTGAGCGGCAAAACAAGTCTTTCATTCTTGTCGTCGTTAAAGCTAAAACGGAACCGCGTTGCATCTAAAACGGCTGAAGACTAAATGGAAACCGGTTCCGCCACTTTTCAAACGTTAGCATGGAGCCCAGAACGTAAGAATCCAAAGCGGAGCGGCTGGGTACGTGATTGAAGGGTCGCTCTGTGGGGGCTTCAGTGTCACGGTGACCATCCCACTGGGAGGGGTCCGACCAGAGGTGTAAATTACAGGCCGTCAGACCGGGCCGCCGCCCCCCCCCACCCGGTCTGTGGGATCACACATCAAACACGTGTCAGCACGGGTAGAAGCGGCAAACAGATGTTCCAGTAAACCTTGAAGGGAGGGGAGGGAAGGGAGGGGAAGGGGGGGGGACACACCTTTAAAACGAGGGGGGCCGAAGCCAAACACGACACGACACCCGCCGGCTTTTTTGACAGAAGCACATTTATTGTTCGTGCTCGTCCAGGTGAGAACGTCCACTGCTGGACAGGAAGAAGACCTAAAAGGTTTAAGGTGTGAGCTTTAGTAAGACTGTGCCGCGTCCGACCCCGTTCAACACACACGACACACACACACACACTCACACACCATGTTATATAATCTACAGGCACTCAAACACGCACACACACACACACACTTTTCCCCACCCGAGCCTGATGTAGTTTAGAGACACTTTGCTTTCCTCGATTAATTGTTTGGCCACTGTTATTCTGTCCCTCCCATCACACGGATAATCAATCCGTGATGGGAGCACTGAGCGGAACTGGAGCGACAGAACCTTTGGAGCTTCTGAGAGAAAGAAAAGCCTGACATGGCGAATCCGTGGTGCTGCAGATGAACCCGAGGGGGGAAACCAATGTTAAGAAGGTCGGCGTTGAAATGTTGAAACGTCCAAACGTCACCCATGAAGCAAACCTTTAAACTTTTATGTCCTCAGTCGTTCTCAGAAAGTCAAAGATGGAAATCCTACAATTCAGTTTAACAGTGCAACAGGAGCGAACACACACACACACACACACACACACACACACACGCACACACACACACACACCTCTGAATATTCTCTGTGCAAAATGAGGGTAAGAAGTCTATTGCTTAGTAAATGTTAGTAGTACCACCACGTCGTCACAGCCACCTTTACAAATATGTGCTCTTTTCCTTTTTAGAACCCTGTGCGTCAGCAGTGATCCTGCTGGGTGCAAAGTTTGTACAAAAGAAACCGGGCATCTCTCTCTCTCTCTCTCTCTCGCTCTCTCTCGCTCTCTCTGGTGAACGCGCTCCGTCCTCCGGGCATCTGTTCGCCGGACCGTCCCGCCGTGCCTTCGGGGATCAGTGGACCCCCCCGTTGAACGACTTCCCGAACATGTCGAAATCTGTCTCTACTAAATGTGTGGAGGCGTGCTGCTTGTACAGAGGGTTGGAGGCCTGGAGGCGTGAGAGATGGATGGGGAGAGAAATAGAGTGAGCGGTGGAGATAGAGCGAGGCCTACGGAGGGAGAGGGCAGGTTGAGAGAGATAACCAAGAGTGTCGGGGGGTTCCTATAGATAAAGAAAGGGGAAAGAGATTGATAAAAATAGAAAGATATAAGTGCTCAGGCCCTTTATACAAAAAGAGTCTCAGACGGATCCCTTTAGTACTAGGGGGGGGAGGAGATTTAAAACCCCTAATGGGAAAGAAGAACTGCCTGGGTTTCAAGACATATCCTCCCGTCGGCATCAGAGACCAACAGCAAACTGATAGAGCCCAGTAGGAGCTCACCTTGTTTCAGATGAAATTTGGGATTCGTTTTGCTTTTAATATTTTTTGAGAAATTTCTGAAATGTGAACTCCCCCCCCCCCAC